AAATACTACCAACTAGGCTGTCAGAATGAATTAAAGCAAAAGAATATTGGACTAATCTGATATATCAATAAACTAATTATAGTTTTATATAGGCTATCTAAATTAGAAGTTTGATAAAAATGCAGAAAAAAAGGCAGAGATATACTAAAGTACTAGGATTATGCTATAAAGTAGATGCTAGGGTTTAAATAAACTCTACAAGAACATAGCAGTTTAATGGTTAAGCCCTGACTGCAAGTGTTGGTTCTGCCATAGCAATATCTAGGTCAGCTGTAAAAATAAATACAAAAGACTTTGAGAAGTTTACCTTAAAAATAAATTAGTTCTAAGATTAAGATAATAATCTGAGCATCTAAGTATGTTCCAATAAGTTAACACAGATTACAGGTTCAGAAAGTTTAAATTGGAACATCCAAATAAGAGTGTTAGATATAGCAATTGGTAAGAAACCTTTAGGTAAACTCCTTAAATAGGTAATATAGGAAAGTTATATATATAGCCAATTGTATATTCTTCTGTAGTAGTTTATTAAACTACAATACTGATAAGTGATTAATAAAAGTTAAAAGACCAAAAAGGTCATCTTAACACTAAAAAAAAAAAAATTAAACTTAAAATAATTATTAGTATAAGAAAAGTAGTTTAATTGAGATAAATTAAAATAATTATATAATGTATGCTGATAGAAATAACTTGTAATAATATTTTCAATAATAGTAAATCATCGAAATATAATATCTTTAGGAAGTTTGTTTAGTCTGAGAAAAATATATTGCTAATGTAATAAATATAAATTATTATAGGTGATAAGTTGGTCAAGAAAGAGTTTATAGTATCTAAGTTGTTTTTTGAAAACAAAGTATTTAGAATAAAAGAAAAAAGAAAGATAGTTTCATTATATAAGATATAAAAAATATTATAAGTTAAATTAATTAAAAATATTTAGCCAATATGTTTAATAAACTATATAATTTTGAAGTTTATAATTAGATGATTTGGATTATCAATAATTAAGTTGGGATGTAAAAAATATTAGTTAAGGACTAAAGATTATTTTGTAATTGTTAGATTCGAATATGAGTAGATATGTTTAATAGGCCAGGATTATTAAGTTGTTTAAGAAAGTTAGAAATATAATGTTGCAATTAGATGTCCTAAATGTATTTAATATTATAAATTTATAAATGTAAAAGAATACTAAAAGGTATTATATAGCAAAGTTTGACTTTAAGTTTAACAAGACCAATGTGCTAAATAAAAATTTTATTGCAAGTAGATTGGTTAATTACAATATTTTGAAGTTAGTATTTAAGAGTAGGAATAATTACAATGTTAATAATATAACAAACATATAAGTTAGTAATATGTTTAGTTTTAGTAATTTGAATTAGTTAAGAGAATTTAAAATAAGTAGTTTTGTTTGTTTAGATTGTTTATTGTTCAAAGTGAATTAACAAACTAAAAATTAAAAGGTATTTTAAGAAAGTGAAAAGGATGAAAATAGTTATAAAAAATAGGTATATAATAAGATAAAAAATTGTTAATAACCAGAATGGATTTTAAGAAATTAACTTGGATATTGGATATAATATAAAAAAATTCAGCTATAGATAATATATATAATAGTTCAGATTATAATAAAGCAATTCAAAAGGTATTATCTATATAAGCCAAAACAAAGCTAAAAATGCTAATGACTTAACTTAAGTCGATAATTTGTAACTTTAAGTTGATAGTCATTTCAAGTTAACTGATATGCAAGTCAGTTGACTCAAGTCGATAAGTAGTTGATATTTAAGAGATTTATATAATAGATCAATTTTGTCTAATTAGTTTGCATAGATTCTTAACAAATATCTATAATAATATATTATCTATTTAAAAAATTCATATATTAAAATTTTTTTTATATATTCAAATAACATAAAGAATCTCTTGTAATATAAATAACTTCTTTAATAAAAATGTATTTATTAATTAATTGATTATAAGTAAGGTTACCTATATTGCAAGAGATATATTTTTCACTAAAAAAACTAAATATTTACCAAAAAAGTTTAGCAATATCTAAAAAAATTTAATCATATATACATATATAGACAGTTTTTTATAAATGCACTTCTGATAAATATATCTTTATAAATGCACACACCAAGTGTTTCTTTCTAAATATATGCTTATTTTGATTCAAAGTTTATAAAACTTTTATAAATGCATATTTTTAAACTTATACATATAGTTATAAACTGTGTTGTCAATGGACAGCTTTGGACATGAGTTTGGATATTTTTGAATATTTTTAAACATTTTTGAACAAAAATATAAATCAAAATTACTCAAAATTTTGTTAAAATAATCTATATATATTTCTAAGCAAAAAATATTCAGAACCTAAAAAAATATATAATCATATATTTTTTAGACAAATTTATTTATTATTAGAGCTTGAATATGCTTTGAACACTCTTGGACACTTGGATATTTGAACGTTGAACATGGTCAAAAAAGCCTTGAACAGTAAAAAATGTACAACACTGGTAGCTACTAACTTTTAAACTACCAATAAAGATACGAGCAAGACCTCATCTTAATACTAAAAAAAATATATATATATATGTTATAACAAAAAATGTAGAATAAAAATTGCTTTGTTTTGATATATTGTAAAAAAAAATGTAAAAAACAATTATAAAAAATCAAAATAATTAAGTACTGGAAGCAATATATATCTAAAACTTATAATCCTATGTGATACGTAGTAATAATAAGCAGTGCAAAGATGTAACACATAAGTTAGCACGTGTAAATCCGTTATATGAACATCCTAAAAATAATGGTAGTTAAAGAAACCTGAATATGCACGGATCTTCACCATTGCAATGTCCGAAATTGTGAAACAATCCAATTTTTTTTAATATATAGATATAATATAGACTTTCGTTTATTATTAGTGGAAATTTGGTTATGGCAATCAACGTATATTTTTAGAATGGTATTTTATGCTTTTAACAATCGCTTTCACTTTGAAGTATCGAAGAAAAAAAATTACTTACTACAATTATGTTAATCCTAATCATGATGATTTGACAATATCACATGATTTTCGAAACTTTCTTGGGTGGTCTATATTATCGTTATACCGAATACTGTCGAAATGAATTACTTAACCGGATCGGCCGAAAAATCATTCGGCTAATTTTTGCCAGGTGTCCCAGAATTTATGATAGTAGCTGTAAATCCTTTTTTTTCGGGTTCGGATTATAGCTGTTCTCATAAATTCTGGGACATATTACAACTGTTTTCGTAAATTCTGGAAAATCTGGCAAAAATTAACCGACCGAGTTTTTGCCAATTCGATAAGTTATGATTCGGTAGTGATAAACTTTTGATTCGGATATAATCACATCCGAATCAAAAGTTTTATCAAAATCGAATCTGCAAATATTCGGCCGGTCAATTTTTTTACCGTATTTTCCAGAATTTATGAAAACAGCAGTAAAAATTTGCTCGTTACCCGAAATCTTTTCGGTTTCGTCCTGTAAATCATCTAACACTCCAGAAATTACATCGCTATCTTCGAATCTTCAGTTCGGAGACAGTAATGTAATCTTTGGGTAACAAGCAAATTTTAATTTGTCCTAGAATTTGAGAACAGCTGTAAAACTTTACTTGTTACCCGAAATATTTTCGGTTTCATTCGAAAAAAAAACATAACAACCTTCAAACTTTCGGTACGGAGATAGCATGTAATTCTGGGTGTTAAATGATTTACAGAATAAAACTAGAAAGGTTTCAGATAACGAGAAAATTTTTAATTTATCCAAGAATTCATAAGACAACTATAAACCCGAATATGCAGTAAACGATAAACCTGAATATCGAATTTAAAATTTTGAAACATAAACATATGAAAGACGGAAGTATTCTACTACCTGTAAAAGTGTCTTAATGGTAAGTAGTGTCGTTTTAGGTGGTCAAATGCTTGTCATCGATGTATTCTTTTATTTAAATTTGTAGCTGTTTTTTTTATCTTTACGAATTTAACCAATATTTTATGTAGTATCGTTTTAACAATTCGGATTCAAATCCAAAGCTGGAGATTACTAACTAAATAAATTCGGATTTAAAAATGAATTCTATTTCAAACCTTAATTATCTGACTGTTAAAAATTTAGTCGGTAGTTATTGAAAAAGCATCAATAGATCGATATGAGTTATTCGTAATATGCATGTACGACTAACGCTAAAAAAAATTTGTTGATTACGGAGACGTCATTCGTGTGATGTTGATCGCGTGTAATTGTTAGGCCGTTTAGCCATGTTAGTCATTTAATTTCACCAGCGTTAAGGTAATTTTGGTCCATGACCATGAATCAATAAATGCAGAACGATAATCCAATTAGTTTAAAAATTAAAGAGCAACCTTTTTGAAACTCATGGTTTCACGCTATATTTTTAATGGAGCATCTTTTTAGCTATAGAAAGAGCTACTACCGCTACTCAGTGTTGTTAAATTACCCAAAAAAAATTGTAAATGTAAATAATTTTTCAAATGTAGTGTCTGGATCCGTTATCCCGTTGGATACTGTAAATCCTTCCCGATATCTGTTAAATTCAGTATGAAACGAGTAACAGATCCAAGCTTTGATAAAATGGCTTTATATGGTAAATGACATTTTAGAAAGATAAATGGCCATGAAAATTTAATAACATTGGACCGCTACTGTTACCACTCAGATGTGATGGTAAAATCTACGCTATTAACTAATTTCGGAAATATATGTTAATTATACCGTAGATAAATTGTTCCTTTTCTTTTTCTTTTATGTTAATCATAAATAATTTTTTTACTATAAAAATACTCATTTTCGACTTTTTTCATTCTTGCCATCTTTCTTTTCTCATCAGAATTTTTTTTTTTGGCTGTTTTCGTAAATACGCTGGTCGGATTTTATTAATACATAACCAATTCCACTTTATTTTTTATATATAATAAAATGATGCGTTCAATCTTCTACGGTTTTATCATCTCTATTCTCGTAGCTGTTGTTTCTTCGTTCCCCAATGGCTCTGGTACATGTAACTCAATTCAAGCGACTATCGAAGGTGTTGCGAATTCGCCCATGGGTAAACTCAACACTGCACTGAATTATGGTTTCAATCTTAATTTAAAGAATAATAATTACATTCCTGGAGGTTCTGCTATTCTTACTCTTAATGGCACTCAACCTTACAATGGTATCTTGTTATATGCATTGGACAGTCAAAAAAACCATGTTGGTGCATGGACTGTTACAAAAGGGTTCAAAATATTGAACATGAGCTGTGCTGGAGATCCAGAAGGAACTATAACACATGATTGTATGTATGCGTAATGTTTTTTTTTTCGTTAACTTTCTTTTACTTATAAAACTTTCAAACTTTACAGCTGCCAATCCAAAACCAGCTGGTACTCAACTCACTTGGACAGCACCAAAAACAGATGTCGGTCCAGTTACGTTTGTTGGTACCGTTGTGGTTAATGCAGCAACGGGTTTCCAAATTGTAAAGTCACAGAGCTTCTCAGTTGCCGGAAGTAATTTTACTGGGCCACCTGCGTCAACAAATACTGCTGTGAATCCTCAACCCACTGGCGGAAGCGCTGCGCCAAATCCAACCTCAAATCCATCCATCCCTACTTCCGATGCTTCTTCTTTAATGGGTGGATCTTTGTTGTTGGCAAAATTAGGCTTAGTTGCCGCTTTGGTGATCTCATATCTCTAAATGTTTTATACTACGGTATTCAAAATGCTATAATTTATGATGTTATGTTTTAGCATTTTAGTGTTTGTGTTTAATGTATTATTAAATTAGAAAATAAATACAAATTACAAAATTTAATATAATATTATGTCAAATAATTAATTCTAGATAAATTTAAACTTAATTTTTTGATTCAATAAATACTAAGACATTAAATATTAAATATTAAAATAGTAAAATATAAATTCTAAAATACAATATTAAAATTAATCAACATCTGTACACTACATAATATACGGTATAACGTCAAACCTAAGTGCACGCACTTATAAATACACATTTTAACTTAGTTCCGAGCTTGGGACTTAGTGTTAAGTGTACTTCCCTACTAGAGAACCTGGCACGATAGTCATTGGAATACCAAAGCCTTTATTATAAAATTATTTTCATGTAATTTAATTGGTTAAAGGAAATTTAATAATATTCGAAAAATAATTTTTTATCATGCCAAATGATTTTAGGCGTGCTTATAGTTGTCGTCCAAAGATTTGGGATTTGGGCATGGACACACCAATTCTATTTGGCAAAACTGGACAAATATAACAAAATCTCAAACCTTAGTCAAATCTCAAACTTTAATTCCAAATATTATTTATATTCTCTAAGCATGTAAAAATTTATATGTATTTAAAACTTTAAGATTACCCCAGGGTGAACCACAAAGTTCGGGTCGATGATTGCCGAAGTATCTAGGTATAAGGAAAAAATGTGGCTAGAAACTTGTACGTGGCTCTTGAGGACTTAATAGGTTTTATTATATAGTCATTGGTTAACAAAATAACTGGAATTAGTTGTCAACGTATTTGATTTTAAGAGATTTTTTTTTGGATATTCTTGTTGTACTTACAACTAGGGGCGCAGGTGGCGCTCTTTTATTAAGATATTAGAAATGACTTAGTTACTTTTTAGATATTTACATATTAGGTTAAAAGATTTAGATCTAGTACTAAAAGGGTTGTTTTTTAGAATTCATATTTCCTTTGAAATGTGGTTTCTAACAAGGGAGTTTAAAGAGTTAAGAGGTGTAACTGAATTTTCCTATTTTACAGAGGTGTATCAGTATCATATTTCATAGATTGTAATAATGTGTAATCAGATCAAAGCTGTTAGAGTTTAAGAATAAGTATTAGTAGGAGCTTAAAAGATATTATCTAGTGAAGATGGTATAGTTATTTCTTCAATAATGTTAAGAAAACTGTAGATTTTTTTTTCAGATTATTATATTTCAAGGATATTTTAAAGCAAAATATTCTATAGTTTGTAACTCATCTGAATATCAAGTATAGTTTTCTGTCTCTAATGATTTAATATATTTTAATTAATAGTTCAGGAAAAATACTCTATAAAAAAGATGTTAGAAAAAATATCTTTTTTAAAGAGTATGATGATTTAGTGAAGTGATTAGATTGTTAACCTCCAAGTGGCAGGTCTAGAATTCAAATCTCAATATTAATAAAAATTTGAAATTCTCTCTGTATTATGGTTAACTGTCTTCTGCTATTAAGAAGATCAGATACCTGTTATCTATATTATATAAGTTTGACTAAAAGGTCATATAGTATTTGTATAACAGTTGTATCTTGTATAAAGGAACACAAACTAGTACTAGGTAGTATGAACTTATGATAAGTTTACATGACTATATAAATCATAAGAACCAGAAAGATAAAAGCTTACTTAAAAGATCTGAATAGAAAAATAGTCTGAACTTTTAATAATATTATTATAAAGACTAAACTTATGAAACAGAATTAGAATTTATAAAGCTAGACAAAGAGTTAGTTTTTAAAAAAGAATTAAATAGAATTAGCCAAATTATCAGAATTCATTTTAAAGAAAAAGGTTATATACTAAAGAATATGTAAATTAGAGATATGATTATAATCTACTTTTTTGAACTATCTGATCTGAAAGTTTGATGAAACTTAAATTAAATACTAAAGTAATAAAGATATATTGTAAAATTAATATCAAAATTAGAATGAACTCTACAAAGATATAGTAATTTAATCTGCAAATCCATTGCACAAAAAATTAACTAAAAATTCGTCCGTATAAAAATACTTATAACTATTTATTTTACTAAG